TGATCTATTTGACGGTATCTCATTCGCTTTCTCTCAGGTATTCAATCACTCGAGAGTCGAGGCAGATATGTCCTTCTTCCTGACTTCCTCTCCTGACTTTCTCCTTCCTCACACCCACACAACAAGTCAAACTCGAAACCACGACGAAAGGGAAAGCATAACAGCCCCATTAATGTGCAGGACGACGAGTTAGACACCTCTCATTATTTCGGCACCTTACTATTTGTCCGGAGGGGTGGACGAGGGAGAATGATGTCGTTCCCTCCTCCTCTAATCCGCTACTAAAACAGTGGCCGCGGAAGGGTGGGGACAGAGGGACAATGTCCCCAGGGTTGTTTGAAGTCGGCATCATCTCCCCATCTTATATAAACCCGGCCCTCCCCCTATTCTACAATGTTAATGTCCCCAAATGTCCTCACAGCTTCCGCGGCCATTGGTGACGAAGCGAAACTTGCTTGGTTGGTCCACATTTAGAACAAGTTGTCAAATTAGTTCTGGCAATTAAAACCATCTGAACAAAAGTCAATCAAATCTCGTCACAAGTTTGCTTTTTACTGCTGCTCCGTCCTCGTCGTGGTGCAACTTTCTCGAGAAAAGTGCCAGGCTCGGCAAACTCTTAGTGCACAATCATTTTGGCACTAACAATAAGATGTCCATGGCTAAGTGCTGAGTTGACGACTTGTAAACTTTGTTCTCAATTCTGCTCCTGCTGCTGAAATCAGAAAGTCTCTTTCTTTCTCTTTTTTCCCTTCCACGTGGTGTGCTGTGGTCAGTCCTCGGAACGCTGACGTAATTGTGTATTTATTGTGAACTCTTTTGTTTCTCAACACACTCACCCACATTTCTCACTGTCAATATAAATTGGTGTTCATGATGTTGTTTTCTTCTACCCGAAACCCAATTTGGATCAGCGAATTGAGACACGCTTTCACCCACCTCGTGCGAAAACAACAACAAAACAACAACTTGTACCTTGCCGCGGCATAATAAATTGAAATCTCGTAAAAATATTTTAGTACTACGACATGTACGCACATTTTGTGTGTTTTTTTCCGGATCTGGTAGGTGGGTGGAGAAAAAAGAAAGAAAGAAAAAGAGAAAGTATGAAAATACCGAATACATAAATATTTCTACACAGTGGAAACTTTTTCCATTCCACGTTCCTCGAGGAGGAACGCCTCATACTAGGGCTTAATAACCCATCAAAAACATAAAGGAACAACTTGACACGACTGTATTTGCTTGTCTCATTCTAGTGATAATTAATAAAAGCTCGCCTTGGCACTTTTGAATGACGTCTCATAATGTGTTTCGGTGTAATTTACAATTTTCTTAACTTAACCCATCTCCAGTCTCGGAGTGTTCCCCTCTCTCCTCGGAATATTGGTCTTTCTCTGCTGGAAGAGAAAAGGGTTCATGTCACGAGCAGCTGTGACGAGACAAAGGGTGCTGAAGCTGAGAGAGAGAGAGAATTTTATAACGAAATCATACCCCACCAAGAAACAGTGGCCGCGGAAGGGTGAGGGAACAGAGGGACCATGTCCTTAGGGTTGTTCGATGTCGGCATCATCTGGCCATCTTATATAAACTCAGACCTTCCCCCTATCCCTCAATGTTAACTTCCCCAGATGTCCCCACGGCTTCCGCGGCCACTGAGTCGTCCTTAGAAAAGTAGTTCCCAGCGGCCGCGGAAAAACAGGGACAATGTCCCCACGGTTGTTCGATGTCCGCATCATCTCCCCATCTTATACAAACCCGTCCCTCACCCCCCTTATCCTACAATATTAACGTCCCCACATGTCCCCACTCCTCCCCTTCCGCGGCCCCTGCACCCCAAAAGTATGGAAAGAACCAAACCAAGGTAGCGAGAGAGTAATGATTGTGCGAAACTTGTATAATAAATTGATTCGACTCCCTGTCTTAGAGAAAAGAAGAAGGCGACTTTGTAATAATGTTTTGTGTAGTTGACACCACAAAATATTCTCAACATTTCTCCAGAGTTTTATTTTATACGGAGAAGAAGAAGAAGAAAAAGTTGTATATTCTCAAGGAGGAGAGAAGAGGAAGCTTAAAACTTAATACAGATTGGATTATACGCGTTGACGTTGACAAGAGTTTGCAACATGGAGACGACTCTTCTCAAGTTGAGGCTTCATCACCACGCTTCACATAAAGTTGAACTTGTTCGGAAATGAAAGTTTTTGGAAGTGGTGGTGGTGCTTCTGGTCGTTCTTCTTCTTCCAACGGGACCCTGTCTCCTCCTGCTGACGACGACGACGACGTCGACGACGACGACTCGCTATTCATATTGTGTTATGTTATGGTCCGCACTCTCTCTCAAGTTTTAATGTGATCTGAGAATAGGGAAACTGCCAACTTGGGATTTGCTACAGATCTCATGATTGGAGTGACCAAAACAACTGTTCTGAAGTGGGTACATACATGAGGAGCAATCTGTTTTCCATCTAAATGTCCTAGTACCGTGGGTGGGTGGGTGCATTTACGTGTGCGTCGTTTGTCTTTAATATGCTTCTAATTTGGAGCTGAGGAAAAAAATGGCTAATTTTAAGAACCCATAAATGTCATAAAGCCATCAAAAAAAAGTTGGTTTGGTGAGCAGTATGGTTGGCATTCTCTGGGGTAAAAATACTGTAATTTGAAACTCACTCCTCCTGAGATGCAAATGTCCGTAATGATAACTCGTTTATTCCGCTCGCTCCTACCTCATGCTCATGGCGTGCATGGCGTGCTGGCAGTTGAGTCCAGGCTGTGAAATATTTGGGGGAAATTACATCTCTTTTTTTATTCAAACGTTACGTTGCGTTGCGATGCTTCGGCTCATTCAAAGATTGAGTGCGCCTCGACGTAAATGTCTCTCAGTAAAAATGTCAGGTTGAGATATGCGAACGGGTAACGTAGCCTGGCAGAAGAGGAGTCAGTCAGTCGGTCGGTAAGTAAGGACGGGAGAGATCCTAGTCTGTAAGAGGACGAGTGTAGATAACGGGGGCATGAGTGTGCCTGTGCAGAAAATGGTGTCACACTTTCTCCACCAGCATTAAGAAACACTCAGTCATAAGGGTGTAGTACGTAGTAGTGAAAGTCAGTGACCGCGGAAGGGTGAGGGGACAGAGGGACAATGTCCCCACAGGTATTCGATGTCGGTATCATCTTATATAAACCCCTTTCTCCCCTATTTTGTAATATAAATGTCCCCACGGCTTCCGCGGCCACTGGTGAAAATATGTGGCTCCTCTTCGTAGAAAGCAGTGTCCGCGGAAGCTTGAAGGACAATGTCCCCACAGTTATTCGATGTCCGCATCATCTCCCCATCTTATATAAACCCGTCCCTTCCCCCCACCTATCCTACAATATTAATGTCCCCACAGCATCTTCCGCGGCCACTGCTCCTAGTTATGTATGACTTGCACTAGTGCGTACATTTATCCCACTAAAAATGGTCGGGATCTATCTACCTTTCCTTTCTCTGTCTGGATCTCCATGTCCAGGTTGCAAATGTAGCCGGGGCTACATCTGGCCGACCCATCCGAGGAACCACAAGTGTCTGAAAGTTTGCATTGTAATTTAAGTAATGTCAGATTGCGGGTCTGCGAAGGGAATGTTGAATGATGAAGTGGCGAATTTGGGTAGACTCTCACTCGCCGAAGGAGAATTAAGGGCGGCGACGGTGCATGGGTATGAAAAAAGTTTGCGAAAAAGATAGTACTCCATCCGCCGGTGGGTGGGTGGGTCGGACCGACGGACGGATGGAGATTGAGGTTGACTAGGAGAAAGTAGACTGATATCCAGCACGAGAAGAATCTTGGGAGCAGCTGGTTCGAATGCTTTGTTGGTAATGTTTTATGCTGCTGTATGCTAAAAGGTAGGAACCAAGATACCTGCATACCTCGCCCGTGGGGCTCTCGTGGTAGACAGCTTTGATGAAGTGGACTTGTTCTCGATCACGCGACGACCGACCCACCATAGGCACCCAGGGGTACGTCATATGTCGGCTGGAGAAAGGCTGAAATCTGTGCCGCCAAGAAGAAAAAAAATATCTGTGCCGGAGATAAAGTGGGAGAGAGAAAGAGAAAAGGATAAATGTATACATTCTTGTCTCTCTCTTATCTTGTACGTCATTATTCTGCTTGGTTTCTCCGAGTGGAGATGCGATATGGCTATTTTATGCAAATATGCAATTCATCCACTAAACTATGGCCCGTTAAGAGATAGTGCTTTTCCTGGTGGTGGTGGTGGTATCTTGTGCAGTCTGGTGGGTGACGGGCGCATGAAAAATTTTCTTGCCACACAATTTATGAATATGCATGGAGAGAGAGAGAAAGGCACTTATTTAAAGTGGGAAACATGCCATATTTTACTTGAGATCGATTCTGTTTTTAATTAAGGACGATTGCCTTGCTTTCTCCGGTGGTGGTGGTGGTGGTCGCCTGCATATGCATGACTGGGTGAAAGCAGGTTGGGTTTCTCTCCTCTTGAAAAGTTTAAAAACTGGATTTGTTTCAGTAACCACTACACCGCTACATTAATTTTTCCCTGAATTAAACACTTAAACTTTCCACTTGAGTATGGCTTAAGGAATATTTTGGAAGGGTATATAACGACGAATGTAGTGGGAACAATTACATGGAGGCTGAGAATGATGACGACGTTCTGCTGCTGCCGGCTACTACCAGTTGAAGAAGTATTTATCCTGCAAACTACTGCGTCTTATGTGAACACTTGTTTTTGATAAATGTTCCACCGGGCAAGATAATTGTGAAACATTGCGCTCATTTATTCTGTTTAGTTTTCGAGCAAACTTGGAAGGGCAGGCGTCGTCTTGCACTAATTGTTTCTTTGTTCAACCTACCAACCCACTCGAACTGCTAATTGATGATGGATAGGGCTCATTATTTCTGTCCCCCGCATTCCCTCTGCTACTTCCTTCTGAAGAAAAAGTGAAGATGAATGTTGCTAAAAAATGTTTTTCTTTTCTTTTACAGCTGAGTAAAGAAATCGGCTACGTTCTGTACTCTGCCCTGGGCTCGTTCTACATCCCCAGCTGTATCATGGTGTTCGTCTACATTCGCATCTACTTTGCTGCCCGGGCGAGAGCCCGGAGAGCGGTGAGGAAACCCCCCAAGGCGGCGAATAAGGGGCATAACTTGGCCTCCATCGAGGTGGAAGATCATCTCCCCGCCACACCCACGACAAACCCGACCGTGGTGGACACCTCTTTTTCGAAGAAGCCTCCCAGCACGCCGGACATTGTGGGGGGATCCTCTAGTCGAGGTGGGCTTCCCAGCCTGCCATCCACCCCGGATGGGCGGACGGTCAAAACGGTGGGCTTCCAGGAGCCGTTAGAGACAAAAAGTGAGGCCTCGCCACGCCCAGAAATTCTCGTGGTGAGGTGTTCCCCCGAAGAGAGAGCGGCAGCCGCGGCTGCAGCGGCGGCGGCCGCAGCGACGACGGCGGGGGGAGGGACCCCGGAAAATAATAGTGCTGGTGGGGACGCTCAATGTACGACTATCTCCACTGCGACGGACGATTTAAATAGTGACAAATGTGCTGGTGACGAGGGGAGACGGAGTAGTCCCCCCGTGTCTGAAAACTGTGCTATAAACGTGGACATTGTGATCATCAATGAGGTCGTGGTAGTAAAGGAAGCAGAGACTGAAGGGACTCGACGCTCCCCACCAAACGGTCTCCCCAAGGAGCCACCCATCGTGGTCGAGGCGGACGCTGGATCCGACCAGTCTGACGAGTTTACCTCCGGACAGCACGGGGTCCAACCGCTCGTGCCCACAATTCATTTGAAACGCGGGTCTGAAGCCCCACCACCACCACCCAACCTGTCGCCCCATCGATCAACCTTGGCAGTGAGTGAGTTGGAAAGTGCCATTTCAGAGTTGCAATCTAACGGGGCCAGTCGTGGCGAGGAGGCGGCCGGCCAACCCTCGTCGAAACGGTCGAAACGTAACAAACTTCACTTTCTCCGGGTGGAAACTCCCACGATTTGGCGAACCTCGTCAAGCCTCTCACTCAACGGGGACGTGCACATTTTAGGCACGCTGTCCCGCTCTTGCTCCCGTCTCCAGCTGGATGCCGACCCTGTGAGTGACGTGGAACCTTCCTCCTCCGACTCGGGAGCGGTGAGTCGTTGTGGCGTCGTCAAACCTCTCAAACTTCGCTTGTGTCAACCCTTCTTTGGTAAAAAGTCGTCGTCAGCCTCGAACAAGGCGAGGAGGGATGTTTTGGACATGGGGAAACTCCCATCGCCAAAAGTAAGTGGGGATTCCTTATTTTACTTTCACTTTTCAGGGTGCACGTGTAGCTAGGCATGCATATCTGCGTTATGATTCATTCATACCCTCTCCTCTTCGGGGCCCTTGATGTCATCATTTTGCGGGTGAAATTGGGAAAATAAATGAGGCTGCTGGCCGGAACAAATTAACAGATTCGGAGGAGAAAGGATCATGTGGAGTTGAGCACCCACTTGACTAGCATTCGCCGCCGTGCCTCTCTCTCTCACTTTCTCCCACAACAGGACAGAAGAGAATGGGCCCTGTTCCGTGTCGCTGGTTTCGGAGAGAGATGCAAGGCAAGCAATAGATGAATAGTGTTTACGTCGATGAGGACGAGGCCCCAGCAGACGGGACGATATAGCAGAGAGATATGTATGAGAGAAGAAAATGTGAAATGGTGTGATGATGGTCTGCTGAGCCGGCATGGATGGCATGGTTCTCCCAGAAAATGGAATCGATTTAGGAGACCTTTGCCCTTTTCGGTTCTATTGTCTCTTCAAGATTCCTAGCGAAAAGGGAGAGCATATAAATGCCGCTTCAATTCTACACACATTCAGCCAGATAGCTCTCTTTCATCCTTGTCTGCATGCATACATAGACGATGGTCGGCCGCGGAGGAGGCTATATTTCAGACGAGGAGGAGGACGACGACGAGGGAGCGATATATAGAAACCAATGACACCACCGGTTTGGTGTCTCGGCTTGGTCGAATTGCCGTCCCATGAAGCGACGACTCAGTCATTTTCCAAGCACAGACTGCTCCTTGCAGGGGCTGCGGAAGTAGGTGTGGGGACGTTGAGATTGTAGGATAGGGGGAAGGGAAGGGTTTGTATGAGATGGGGAGATGATAAAGTGTGGGGACATTGTCTCTCTGTTTCCGCGGGGACTGGGACCTTGCACGTATGTCAAGTTATATGTAGGAATCTATATGAGAGACTATTTTGAGCCTGACGTCATTTCTAGCGTAGGCCATTTTTCGTCGCCTATTAGTATTGCATGCATGCACACATATTTTTAGAAAGTCGACGGATCACACACAAAATCATCGCACTTTCTCTGTGAAAGGTGGTAATCATTTTAATTACATGTGCGAGTCTAACGGGGAAGCCGTGGGGACATGTGGGGACATTAACGTTGTACGATAGGGGGAGGGAGGGGTGTATATAAGATGGCGAGATGATGAGGAAATTGTCCCTCTGTGGACACCCTTCCGCGGCCACTGGAGTCTAATTATGTGTCACGTTATGAAAGGTCATGTTCGTGTTGGAGGTGTTGCTCTGTTGATTCCCACGGCATGCAAGCATACATAATTGGCAAACATAATTATAGATTGACTTATTTTTGGGCGTGTGTATTAATACCAAATTGGTAATGATTTAGTACTTATTTGCGGTTATCATTACTTTTGCAGCAGGAGATTCGGGATCCGGAGCGCGAGAAGCGGCGGATCGCGCGGAAGAAGGAGAAGCGGGCGACGTTGATTTTAGGGCTCATCATGGGTTCCTTCATCCTGTGTTGGCTCCCTTTCTTCTTCCTCTACATTCTCGAGCCTCTCTGCCCCTCCTGCGACGTGGCCCCTTGGGGTTTCGCCATCGCCTTCTGGCTTGGATATATGAACTCTGCTCTCAACCCAGGTATGCAAATAAGTAGTCAGTTCTCCCCCTCGTCCCCATTCAGTTATTTCCCCCAGTATAGAACCTCTATTTTGAAAATGAATCCTTTTTTTGCAGTGATTTACACAATATTTAACAAGGATTTTCGCCGAGCGTTTCGCCGTATCCTGTTCAAATAAAGGTAAGCATTTTGTCATCTCATCCGCTTTCAGTGTATTATTACCGATATTTCATACAATCTGATAGTCACATGTGTAGTGGTATTGATTTGGTAATAACTTTCTACCTGATTGGTAATAGTTTGTTTCTGAATGGTAAATGTTTTGTTACCACAACATTACTAAACGGTGGGTAGTGCCTGTTATTACCAGTGCCGGTAGAGTCATGTATGTTCTGACAATGCGATGGTGTGAAGTGTAACCCTCCGATTAGGCTTAAATTTTAAAATTAGGTGGTCCAAGCCAATACAACTAACGTTTCTTCAGGCAGTTTGTGCGATGGTGAGAGTTACTCAAAATATTTGAGGTCAAAGTTCAAAAAACGGCCAACTTTTTTCAGGCGGAGTGAGAAAACTCCACTTCCAGTCTCTTCCCCTCGCTTTGATTTTCACTCCGAAAAATAATTCATTTCAACAATTTTAAATTTAATTTTTTTGTAGAAAAATATTAATTATTCATTGTACATGTGACCATATGATTATTTTCATAAAAGTCCACAAAACAATACGATAAACTGCACCAGCTGAATTTGATGAATGTGGGATTGCCACAATTCAGGTCGCAACTAATATTTTTTTCTCTAAAACAAACGTCGTTTACATTTTTAAACTCGGGCTTTTCGTCATCACCCCATAATCCGCTCGAGTACCAACAATATCGAATCATTGGAACAAACACAGGAGCACTTAAAATATAAATTAATTGAATATTAGAATAACCAACGCGTTCGAAATGGAAAGCAAGTTAAGTTTTTCCATGTTTATTTGCCGTTGGCGAATTTATAAATTAACTTTTATGTAAATTTGTACTAGAAATAAGTAAAAATCGCACTTATTTAATTATGAATTAAATTATGTATAATGCGTATTAATTGCTTTTTAAGCTGTAGTTAATAATGTTTATTTTTTATTATTTTGCATCAAAGCCTGTGCTTGTGCATGAAGGCGTATGCGTGAGCGAGACACCTGCAAATCAAAGCGAGGGGAAGAGACTGGAAGTGGAGTTTTCTCACTCCGCCTGAAAAAAGTCGGCCGTTTTTTGAACTTTGACCTCAAATATTTTGAGTAACTCTCACCATCGCACAAACTGCCTGAAGAAACGTTAGTTGTATTGGCTTGGACCACCTAATTTTAAAATTTAAGCCAAATCGGAGGGTTACACTTCACACCATCGCATTGTGAGTGGTAAATTTTCTATTACTGAAACATTACTAAACAGTAATACCCTTTATTACCAGAGTCATATATGAACTCCGGTCAGTAACGATTTAATACCAGTTTTCTAAGAGTGTACCCCAACTTTCAAAATCTCATATACCAAAACATACATATTTTCCTCTCCTTTCTTCCAGCTCTTCGTCTGACTGTCTCATCCTACGGAAGACAACATATGCATATATTTATACACACCCACCCACCGTGCATCAATAATGAGTTTGGACACCGCAATGTACAAGTTCTCCTAAATACGCAATCGAGTCGAACAAAGTCTGCCTCTTCTTCTTCTCTTCTCTTCACTTCCGGAAGTAGTAAGTGCATAATTCATACATTCTCTCACGCTGCACGGTGAACGACTGGAGTCGGTCGCGGAATGATTAAGGTAACTCGTCATCATCATCATGAAAATGAAGAATAGCTGCGACGACACACATCATCATCATCATCATCGAACAGAATTCGAAAAGTTGTCTGGTTGGTGACAGGAGGTGACGATTCTGCCTGCAGAGTTTTCCCACAATCAACACGACTCATTCATTATTCAGCCGTGATGACAACTACTGAGCTATTCGACGAACGGATGTTCTTGTTCACACATTTTTTCGCTCAACTTTTTAGCTTGTCATATTTTGTCCCCAAATCCACGTGGTTGTGCATACATACATAATAATCCAGGACAATCCACAAATTTAAACCACACACCCAGAAAAAATCTTGTCTTTTACTCTCAACCTATACACCCCCACAAAGAAAGCAAGAATTGTCCCGGGTAGGTTCGTTCCGATAAAAGAAAGTCAGCCCAGAATTAAAAGGCCAACTCGAGGTTGTTCGCCGAAAGAAGGAAAGCCAAACCAATTTATATAGACTGAGAGGAGAAAGTTACGTAGTAAAGTAGATGGATGGGCAGAGGAGAAAGCAAACTGATGACCGTATAATAAATACCTATAATACATAAGTTAATACATAATATAATATAATATATATATAAATAGATACCTCTATTTCTACATGTGTGTACTATTACTACCCCGACTACTGTTTACATAAACATATTTAGCTATACATACATCCATAAAACCACTTGGTAGGTATTTAGAGGACGGTGTACGTACGTAATAAGAGCGTGGTGGTGAGGAAGTAAGTGAGACAGCACCAAATAATACTGGCTGCCTTATCCTCCTCTTCCCAGCCGAGAAGGAGGAGGAGGAGGAGACGGAGAAACTAAAAGGTTGTAATCTACAAGAAAAATAAATTGTCTTCCAGTTCACATTTTTCAACCATTATGTAATCGGTTAGGAGAAATATATTGCTATTCACACACTACTACACACCGCAGTTTCTTCTTCTTCTTTTCCCTTTGTCCTTTCTTCTTCTTCCTCGTCCTCCTAAATAAATATGTATGCGTTAGGTCGTCCGCCAGCCAGAGAAAGGAGAAGAGGAGAAAAAAAAACAATCACCACTTTTCTTATTAATGCCTCCACCACGGTCGTAGTCGTCGTTGTCGTCGTCGTCCTAGCCGAAGCCGCTGTCTCAATCTGTTTTCCATCCTCTGTCTTCTTTGAATCACGGCTTGGGGAAATAATCCGGGCGCCCTATTATCTAAATTATGTTCTACGTGAGAGAGTACATCAAGACCAGGGGCCGCGGAAGGGTGAGGGGACAGGGGGACAATATGTTCGATGTTCTTATCATCTGCCCATCTTATATACACCCCAATGCTACTTTCCCCAGATGTCCCCACTCCTTCCTCCGCGGCCACTGACGGAAAATGTGATTTTACTGCGCACTTACTAAAGCAGCCTCTCATCTATGTATGCAGATGTATTTACAAACAAAGGAAATATTATGTATTAAGCTGCTGCACCTGCCCGTTTACGTGTTCATCACGTCAATTACTTGTTTAATTTGGTGTGCAGACGAGTGAAAAGAGAAAGCGAGCGAGGTCTGCGTACATACTACGTACTACTACTACTACTTATTATTATTATTATTATTGCGAATGTATGCATAATGCATTGAGAGGAAAATAATGCGACGACGATTTTCTAATGCGAGGACGAGGACAACAACAAAAGGTGAATATTAAGTAGCACTAGGAGCGTAATGACGTTCCACTTTCACTGTCTGGTGAATAATCCTGGGAGTGAAGAGAAAGTAGGCGCAAAATCAAACTTTTCAGTGAAAACTTCTCCCATGATCAGCCTCATTAAAGGACAGGGCACATGTGTATTTAAAAGTAGGAGAAAGCACAAGCACGTGGCTGCTTTCTCTTTCTCACCGTTTTCCTCCTCTCCCTTTTTTGGCATCTATTTCCGGCCCGAGCAGGGGAGGATTAATCCTTTAATGAATAGAAGAAGAGGACTGTCTTCTTTATTTCCTTTTAGTCCTCGTGTGTGTGGCTCGTTGGGACCAACACAATTACAGAGTGCGGGACCTTGAGGTGATTAATGTATATACGCGAAGCAGTTTTTTTTTCTTCCCCTCGTTCTTTTCATGAAACACAGAACAACAAATGACATGGGGGAAAATACTCGTGTAGAAATAAAGGCTTGCTTTCTTTCTCTATTCATCTCAAAGTGTAGGGAAAAAGTGGTTGTGACTTTGTCGGAACGTATTCGATTAAGGAGTCTGCTGCTGCTGCTGGATGGCTTCTTGTTGTCGTCGTCGAGCGGCGATCATGTGGAGCGTGGAGGGTTCAAGTTTGGCCAATTATTGCAAGTTTTCTCCTCCTCCTCGTCTTCCATGTGTTTGGCTGGCTTTCGATCAAAGAGAGAGAGAAAGAATGTTGTTGGACAGGAGTTTGTGAGGAGAGGAAGGGGGCACGAATTACGGGAGAGAGAGAGAAAGTGACGACGGGAAGTACGAGAGGAGGAAGTGACGGCGACTACGTCGACGACGACGACGTGCGAGCATGCATGCAGAAGACAGTTAACATGGAGTGAGTGGCGTTGTTTTTGTGGATGTGATGCTTTCTCGTGGAATAATGGGATCTTGTTCGACTTGACCATAGACGGGGGGGAAGGGTGCATATCTATGTATGTATGGAGGATGGTAATAATGCTGTTTTCTCCACTGGTGGTGGTGGTGATATGGATGATGCAGTTTTTGGGAAGGCGGAAGGAGAGGGAGAGAGAGAAAGTGTGGGACACGAGATTCCAAGTCATGTCCTTCGGTCGGTCTGCCTGGTGCTGATGGGGAAAACAGGACAAAACTTTAAATACATTTTGAGCAGCGGAGTGAATTCCAACACTTTTGTTCAACACTTGAAAGACAGAGAAGGCTAGAGAAAGAAAGAAAGAAGACGAAGCTGCCTGCTGGCTCGGAGGGGTCACCAAACCAAACCAACGACTAGAACAGCCCAGGAGTCAGTAGTAGCCTTCTTTCCTGCTGGATATTCTCTAGCGCAACATGTAGATAGAGAAAGCGAGAGTTTAGTCGGACGGAGCTGGCTGGCTGGCTGGTGAAAGGTCTGCTGAAGGGAAAGAGGCGAGCCAGATAAAGAGGCAGCAGCAGCAGCACTCGCCTCTGATTGAATAGCTTATATCGCTCTGACTAGGACTGTATATTAAATAGAAGCACCAGCACCAGCAGCGGGATGTAGATCGGAGGAGAAGTAAAAGTACAAGAAAACGACGAAGGGAACTTTGTTCAAAAGAAGAAGAAAGTCTTGCAGCAGCTCCCTCCGTAATTTTAAAGAGAGGTTGCCCCACCACCACCACGACGGCCGCCGCCACTGCCACTGCCAACTATGTATACGGCCGACTGGGACGAGACGAGAGACCAACCACTATATCATCACTACTTACTTTCACTACTATACTTTCAACTAATTATGAGTCATTGAGTCAGATTGTCCGACCTTGTTTCCCTCAGCCAGCTTTTTCCTGCTCCTTCATCACGAAAAGAAAGTGGTTGGTCTCCTCCGTCTGGAGACTGAAAGTGCGAGTGAGGTGAAAGCAGTCGGAGTCTTGGTGGTGGAGGTTGGGTGAAGAAGGTGGCGGCGAGCAAAACAATGTTTGACAGATGGGGAATCGAGAAAGAATTTCTTCGCGGAGAGAGAGAGGAAAGTTTAATTTCATGCGACTTGCCTCTCCTAACATGAACATGTCATTACATCTCTTCTCTCAAAAAGTAGTTATACTCACTCACTCACTCACTCACTCACTCACTGAGCTGGAGTAAGGAGGAGACTCTGGCTGGTGGGTGATGGGTGCATTCCATGTGCCAGAGAAATGTCAAAATGAGAGTAGCCAAATTGCTATGTGGAAGAATATGGGGGTCTGGCTGGACTTTATTTTCACGACTTTCTCTCTCCCAAAACTCACTTTCACTTTTCTCTCTCTCCTTTCACCACCACCACAGCTTTTCAGACTCCTTTCAAAAAGAAGAATTCTGAGAAGATAAGGAAGAGCGGAGGAGGAGGGGTACGTACGTGGCGGACGCGTTGAGCTGACCGTCAGAAGAGACAGGTTCTCAGAAGAAGTCGGTCGGTCGTTCAGACTTTGGGACAAAAAAGGTAGGATCAGCTAGCTCACAAGGAAGATCAATATCAATCCATTGTCCACACACACAAGTCGTGGTGGTGGTGGTAGTGGTGCTTTTCCAGGAAAAATAGTGAGTGAGTGAGAGAGAAAGTACCCACCTGAGCTGTGAAATTGAGGCAGAAAATTCCAAACTCGACGGGCCTGAAAGAATTAGAGGGATTCCTTCACCTCCCATGTACGCACCCATTTTGCAAATACCTCAGTTAAGGGCTCAGTCTAACGAGGTGAGACAGGTTATCCGAAGATATGTCATGTGAAGGTCCACAAATTTATTTTGATCAGATGTCCACCACTCCCGCCGCCGTCGCCCTTGTAACTTGTCCCAGAGTAGTAAAGCTCTGATCTTTAAATCCCCATATCACGGTCACTAAAAAGCTCAAGCTGTTTAACAATGTTTGTTTTTGGCTCAACTCAATTGGGGATTACACAAGCCGTCTCTTGCGATGCATCGAGACTTTCACTTGGTCCCCAGCCCGTCCTCCTCCTAAGTCACTCGGCACAATAATAACTTTGAACTAGAAGTAAACTTTTCATGGGATATTTGTTTGCTCAGCTTACTCACCATCAGAGAGAGGCTTATTGCTCATCGTCGTCGTCCTTGTACCACCGCGAGAACGAGAACAAGTGGTGGATGGATGGATAGATGGGTGGGTGGGTGGTGTGGGTCACACACCACCCGGCGGACCGAGGAGCCAGGTGAAGTAAGTCGCCCAACTTTTCTGCAATGAATGAACTACTCACTCATAAAGAAAGCCTGGTCTGATTGGTGCCTTCAATCGGAGGAGAAAACAATAGAAATGTGTCGTCACACTGTGAGTTCGCACCATGGCGAAAATAATGTCCATCCATTTCCTTTGTGTTTCTTCCAAACGGGTCAGTTTTTTTGTCATTAAGTTAAAACCTCCATCACCCTTATCCTCCTGGCTTTCTCCAGTGCTTTCTCCCTATAAAATGGAATGGCTGACTGGCTGGCAGGGCAAGCAATCCCAGATGAGACTCTTCTTCGGGATGAGTATTATTTGTTGTTTTTTTTTCTTTCTCTCTCTTTCTCCTCGTGGAATGTGATGTGGAAATTCACTCACTTGACGGATTTCAACAGACTCGTGGTGCAATTGTATTTTGGAGAATGTCAAATGTGTTTTGGTACGAAGAAAGCGTGTCATCCGAAGGTCTGTGAGAGGAGCTGCGTCGCCATCCCTGTTGGTGGAGAAAGTCTGCATGTGCCCGCAATCCGATTTATGAATACGAGTCATTGTAAAGAGTCGCAAGTCTGGAAAAAATGGTTGGTCATACCGACCGACTGCTTTCTCCTACTACTACTACCGACCGACCGACATTAACTTTATGGTGGTGGTAGGCTTCGGATCGAGGGGAGAGTTGAGGATGAAAAGTTGTAAGAAGTGTTTTATTTCAAGGGGAATAGGCAATGAAGAAAGAGTCTCTTTATGCCTCCGTCGGGTGCACTTACTTAGTGTGCAGAGGAAAACAATAATTGCTCTCTCTATTCCTTGTTCCCATCCATTTGATCCCCGTGCTTTATTGTCCCCACTCCAGCAGACGCTGCGTCTTGTGTCCCACTTTCTCTCTCCGAGAAGAGAACAAGTCTTTCATTAATCTCAACTTTTTTGCCAGTCTCAACTTTCCCCTGGAACTCTCTCTCTCTCTCTCCCTTTCTCTTAACTCAATTGACTCAATTACCTATTACGCCCAATCTAATACCTGATTTATTCCCCATCCATTTTTCCACCCTTCCCTCTGTCAACCTGGGTGGAAAGAGGCCTAAATATTGAACGTGGCAGGAGGCTCGAGGTGGTAAATCTAATCACGAATTACACTACTAAACTGGGTGTAAGTAATTCTAATCAACCGCTATCCATTATGCCCCCTAATCCATTACTGCATACATAATATTACTTTGTCTTATCCTCCCCGATACGTACATATTCCTCAGCATGGCTTCAGTTGAATGGAGAAAGTGGCAGCCGCGTTATAAATCACGGGGGGCTAAAGAGAAAGTACTGAATTTCCCAACACGAACGACAACACGACGACGACGACGACTGAATGGCAGATTCTGATCTTGATTATATATTTTTTTCCGCACTTTCTCCCTCCTCCTTTTTGTACATAAATAAATAAATATAGCAAGAAAAGAAAACGAGGTGGTGTGGGAGGCTACGACAACACAACGACTACTTTCTCTCTCTTCTCTCTCTCTGCAATACAATCAAATCAGTCATCGAATTTGTTAAAAAAAATGTTTATATTGTTGTAAAATTTGAACAGATGTGATAGCCGTTGTTTATTGAGGATATATATAAAAAATATTTAGGTGGGTATATAGAAGGAGGTAAAAATATCTATGTGTAGGCGTAAAGTGTAGACGCGTAAATTTTCCTAGAGATGGATAAACTTTTAGCAATTAATCTTTCTCCAGAAGAAAAACCGTGAATAAAAGAACGGAGTGATTCCATGAGAGGTGATTTAACAAAACAAACCATAACCAACAAGGACATCAATCATCAAAAACATAACAGACATACATACATATAATACACAGGTAGTTTATTTTTTGCATCGAAATTATGGTGCTGACTGGTGAATGGGGGGATGGGTGAAATATTAATGGTGTAAATTTTTAGGAAATATAAAAATCCTAAAATAAGGTAAAATAAAATTAGTGTAAAATAATAATCCCATCCACCCCACAGAATAATAAATATGTCCTTTATTACTATTATTATATTTGTGGTTGGTTGAAAAAAAATTGTGAACATGTATGAGCTCTTTTCTCTCCTCTCAAGTTTTAATAAATTGCCAAGAAAGAAATGTCGTCCTCGTTGATAAGTACTTATCTATCGGTAAGAAAATATATAGACATTTGTATTCACGAAAAAAACTTTGACCTTGTACGTTCTCTAGGTAGGTAGGGATATAAGGAAGGTATTAAATATGTCAATATTTAGGGTATGTTATCGTCGATAAGGAGAAGCGAGTACTTACTTATTGTGACCAATATAGAAGAAAAAAGAGGTGGTGCACTTTGTCTTTTTGGAATTGAGTGGGACAAAAAAAAATTGAACAATGGATGCGATTGTCACAATCTCGTCATGATCATGACAGTGGCCGCGGAAGGGCGTGGACAATGTACCCAGGGTCATTTGATGTCCCCATCTTATATAAACCCGGCCCTCCCCTATCCTACAATATTAACGTCCCCACATGTCCCCACAGCTTCCGCGGCCACTGATAAAAATAAGTGAGGACAACGCATAACCCTGAGAGTACAACGATTGAGTGGATGCTTAAAAAATGACGACGGAAGGGAGGAGATAAAACCTTGACTAAAAAACAATTAAGTAAGTGACGCATTACAAAAAACTGTTGATATTATTATATTCAATCTCTTTACGAAAATAAGTATTTAAATAATTAATTATGTATTACTAAATAAAAAACGGTGGAATGTAGTGAATAAATGAGTATTATGCAAGTTGTCACATACATAATTCTCTAAGAAATATCTATCTATACACAAATTTTGAACAATGGTGCTAAAAGTATTTACCAGAGGAGAAAGCAAAATTCGACTTGGTGCAAATTATACACAAGTCAGACGACTACTGTTGTCTTCTTCTTGGTGAAAGTGGTGGTGGAGTTGTCTTCTCTTTCTCCCCTTCCGGTTGTTGTCTCCTTGTTATTATTATTGTTCCATGACACACACACACACTGTTGCTGTGGATGATAAGTACTTATCCATGTCGTGGTAGTGGTGGTGGTTGTGTCGTGGGGAAGGTTTAGTCAGCAGACACTTGTTAAAATTCTATATGTATATTTAGACGTTATGTATGACTCCCCACCCCGTAAAATAAAATAAAGATATTTATTCCCACCCTGCCCCACTAAATAGTTAATTAGTTGATGGGTGGATTTGTTTATTATTTAGTAAATTATACACATTTTTAGCGGAATTGGAGTGGAATGTATGATGTAAATAATAATTAATAATATATGTAAATCAAAACGCATCTTTTAATTATTGTTGTTATGATAAATATATATGTAGATTGGTGGTGATTTGATGATACGTGTGAATGTGTACATGATGACATGTCCAATGTCAATAATATTTGTAACTACATACTAAATACTACTACTAAATACTACTACTACTACTTACTACTACGATAATAAATCTGATGAACCTCTGATGAAATGGTGGTGTGTGTTGTTATTATTGTCGTTTTGCGAGATAAGATAAGCGCGGAAGTAGGAAGAGGAGGAGGACTGTAAGGTAAGCCTCGGATAAGTTGGAACCATATGCTCCACAACTGTGATGACCTCGACTCAGCAAGGAACGCAGAAGGCGAAGAAGCAGCGGCGATGATGGTGGTGAGCAAATTCAGTGAATTGTGGCGAAACCACAATTGACGCTCGATTCATAACGCATATTAGCCCAGGCATGTTTGTGAGTTGCTAAAATTCTTGAGGGATGGGGAGTGAATTGAGTTCCTGAACTCAAATTCATGCCACAAAGCTTCCGGTATGCGATCTGCCTATTGAGAGAGCCCCCGCACTCTGGAATACCAACCAACCAACCAACCAACCAACCAAACTCTAGTGTATTTCGCTATTTCCGAGCAACCCATGGCCAAAATATTTATGAGATATGAAGTTTCTCTCTCTCTCTTGAAACTGAAATTCATTAGTCTCATCACCCTTTGGGATGAGGAGCGGATGAGGAAAAACTTATCCCTTCATCTTCCGCCGCCTTTCCCTTTGTTTCCTTTGCATTGTCCTCCTTCATTTAAATCCTGTACACAGAGGAGGAGCAGCACCAGCCTTGTGTTTCTTTCTTGAAATCCCAGATTGGCTCGCATCAGCCGCCGCGCCCTCTCCGCTCGTACATCATTCTTCTCATACGGCCATAACACCAAACCACCCAATATTTTATAGTCTTCTGGGTTCTGACATGGCAAAAAACTGCCCAACCATCGGGAGAAGAAGAAGAAGAAGCTTGTCTTTTATGCACTTTCTCTTTCTCGGCATGGATGAGCGAGTCGTGCATGGGCAGGCGCCGCGGAAGGGTGAGGGGACAGAGGGACGTCATAATCATCATCATCTCCACATCTTATATAACCCTGTCCTACAATGTTAATGTCCCCAGCTGTCCCCAGAACGGCTTCCGCGGCCCCTTGTATCCACCACCACCGTGTGACCTTCGCATATTATATTATTAGTGTGCCGAGTAGTACTTGCAGCACGTAAAAATCCCACTTTTACAAGCCGGCAGGCTCGAAGAGTGCAGATGCCTAAATGTTTTAGGCTGAGACAAATCGAGTAAAAAGATGCAAAGGAACCGATGAGATCACACTTTGCATGCTTCGTTGCCCGCAGGAATATCTGTGCCACCACCACCACGACGGCTGCTTTCACCGGGTAAGTAAGTAAGTAAGCTGCATCATATTTATGAATGGGGGTGTCATGTCAGTGTCGGCAAAAAAAATTGGGGGCTGTGATTACATACACAAAGAGAGCGACTTTTTCGGCAATTGCTTTCTTCTCTTCAAGAAGGAATCATCATTAGAGTCGCCCAACTTGTTTCCCTTGTCATGTGATAAGCGATTGTCATGTTCACATCCTATGATCCATCATCCATCAACTGCTGCCTGGCCCTGATCTGTTGGTTATTCTGCTGTAAAGTGGGACATTATCTGCTTTGAATGTGGACCAGTGGCCGCGGAAGGAGGAAAATGTCCCCACGGTTGTGAGATGTCGGCATCATCTTATATAAACCCGGGCCTCCCCTCTATCCTACAATGCTAATGTCCCCACAGCTTCCGCGGCCACTGGTCCTCACTGTAACGTGGTTATGTCTTCTCTTTTCTGCAGTGGCCGCGGAAGAAAGAGGGACAATGGGTGATATGCATAAAAATAAGGAAATGCTTTTACTCCAAAATTTCCTTGGTAAATTATTTTTTTACGCCGAAAATTTTGAAGTAAAAGCATTTACTTATTTTTATGCATATGACCCAATGTCCCCACGGTTGTTGGATGTCGGTATCATCTGCCCATCTTAGATAAACCCGGGCCTCCCCTATCCTACAATGGTAACGTCCCCACATGTCCCCACACCTTCCGCGGCCACTGTGTGTGTGTGTATATATTTATCATGTGAACACAGCCGCATCAAGTTTTTGGGGAGGGAAATAATTTTGGCAGTAAATACTGACTCAGCTCAGCTCAGCACACGGAGGGAAGAGGAGAAAAAATATTACGCACATAAAGTTGGTTTCAAATTACTCATAAATTTCTGGCCCATTTATCTGATGAGCTGTATTGTGGTGGGTGGGTGCGTTGGACAATATGTACGGTGTATGAAATATTAGACGAGGACGACTCATCACTCGGCACCCAATCAATAAAAAAGAGGCAATTTCCCTAAAATGAGTTGGGAATGGTTTTTTGAAAGAAGAAAATCATGATCCCACCACCACCACCACCACGGAACATTACACTGGCGGACAGTGGCCGCGGAAGCGTGGGGACATCGGGGACATTAACATTGTAGGATAGGGGGCAGGGCGGATAAGATGAGCAAATTAGGATAAGATGGGGAGATGATGCCGACATCGAACAACCGTGGGGACATTGTCCCTCTGTCCTTCCGCGGCCACTGCTGGCGGCTGGTGTAATGAACGATATGATTTCCTTAATAAGAAGAAAGAGTTTTTAGACCATGATGCTCTCGGTGTAATTTAAAGCTCCGAGATTTTCGGGCTGAGTGAGTGGAACCTGGGCGAAATCTTTTTGGTGGTTTTTGGTCCTCACTTTTGGAGGCTCACGAATAACGCTGCGCTCCTTCCTTGTGCCGCTGCATGGTTGGTATGTAAACGATCCTGGTTGGTGAAAGTCGTCCCGAGATAACTAACACATTCTAACCACGTTTCGTCGTAACTCCTAATTGCGTTTTTCTTCCCTTCTCCATGACGCTTTTAGCCATTGTCCGTTAATAAGTTCATAATTTAATTTCATCCCCAACATGAAACTACACTACCTTCAATCCACCACCACGACCACGACCAACTTATTGCTCCGCGTGGAAGTAGACTCTCAAGCAACAATAATCTGGCCACTTGTATTGATCTCGCTTAATGATCTGCCGTTTTATATGAGTTTCAACAGAGCACTCACTCTCAGAGAGAAAAAGCAAGTCGTGACTGGGACGAGATCAGACCACCACCAGCAGGCGCCGCGGAAGGAGAGAGGGACAATGTCCCCACGGTTCTGAATTATCTGCCCATCTTATATAAACCCGGGCCTCCCCTTATCCTACAATCATACCTGTTCACTTTCATTCATTTGATTGATTATGATAGTGAATGAAAATGAAATTCCTTTGTCATTGGAATGAAAATGACTGAAGGATTCCGTCATTTCAAATAATGAATGTGAATGAAAGTATTTTTCACTCTTCATTTTTTTCACCCTATGCTTAACACATGGGGCGAAGTAAGAACTGAAGAGTCAGATGAAGTGAAGTGAAATGAAATGAATTTGAACAAAAATGACTAAATTTGAATGAAAATCTTCCGTCAAAAATGACTGACTTTTGAATGAAAACTAAATATTTGAACAGTTATCCCTACAATATTAACGTCCCCACACCTTCCGCGGCCACTGAATATCCTACCACCACCTCGCTATCAACAATATCTTTCTCCTCCTCCTCCTCCTGCCTCTTCATTGTTTGCTTGGTAGGACTCCTCTCTTCACCACTCATCGCCTCATAATGACCACTTTCAAAATCGAATATACACCCCACCGCAGAGTTGAGAGTTTCCAATATTACTGCTCCTTGGATTGGTCCCGGATAGATTTTGCATTCTGCTCTGAATCCGCTAACTGTTGTGCCATGGGAGAAAGTGTGTTTGTCTGTGTGTATATTTCACATTCTCGTTATTTGTACTTCGTGGTTTGAATCTTGATGGACCGAGCAGAATTTGTCGAGGGATGGTGGTGGTGGGAACACATTTATGGATACCACAATTCACAGGGGTACCTACATACATGGGTCTACACACACATGTACATACACGTATGTACATGTATGTACATGAATTTAGGCGTCAGGTGTGTCCGGATGATTAAATTGATTAAATTCAAACTTCTTGTTGTCGAATGATTGTCATTGTTCAAAACTTTTCTTGGTCGGAGTGGATGGGATTGTCTCTCTCGAGGTTCGAAATGATGTAGTTTTGGCTGCGTCGGTCGCGGTGACGATAATAATCTCGACACATTTATTGGAATTGGATTCTCTGCTGCTGCTCTAGAGTCGCTTTATTTATTAACTCCTCCTCCTCCTCCTCCTCGCCTCATGTGAATTGGGTCCGTTTGTGGCCTGGTGGTGGAAATGTAAATTATTTGATTTACAAGGACACCATAGGAGCAGATCTGGTGGTGGTGAAAGTACGGCTTGTGTGTCGTGGTGGTGAAAGGACATGAAGGAATAAATTGGAGATTGGCAGACCGAGTGCGAGTGAGGCATACAAATTAAAAGTCCCGTCAACAGGATTCCTTCTCTCCTCTCGTGGTCTTCATTTGGTCCAAGTTTTTGGTTTATGAGGCTCTTCACTCAAGTGCCCGAATAATGCAGATACATTACCCATTCAAAAAATTTATGGCCATTCAATACAGAAGGGTTCTCGTACAGGTCGGTTGAGTTGCTTGCCTGTCTCTTTTTCGGCTAGATTGGAGGATGCACTATAGAAATCCAATTCCGTGATGCTCATCTCACACACCGATCTGCCCAAATAAATCTGACTTGGGCAAGGATAATAAAAACTGATGAAATTGGGCTCTCCTCCTTGGAAGCTTCGTTCGGGATATGCATGTAGAATTGTGGTGCTCATTTTTAGGATGCACGTATGAAGTAGGAGCTGCTTGCTGGTATGGTCATGCTTATTTATTTTAATCCTGCTTTCTCCACTTTCTCCAACTTTTTGCATCGAGGGTTTCTGTCGATTTCTCTCAATTACCCGCCACCACCACCACCACCTCGTTCCACTTGATCTTCGTCCCCTTCTCGATAAATCTGTGCGACAGGAACACCTGCACCGCCACCAATTTCGCCAAACTACCTCCATTCAATCACTCTCGGCGCCGATTGATTGTACAAATCCGTTCGACATACATAGTCGTGTATGGATGTGTGTA